AAGTTATTAATAATGCATCTGTGAGTATTTCATGCAAATCTTTGTGATTTTTACAAATGAAAATACGTTTTTATTTCTGTTGTGTGGAATCACCGGGTTATATCATAAGTGTATGTTTAACGGTTTTTGTGTGTGTGTGAGGAAGATCAGCCCTGAGGTAACATCCAATGCCAATCCTCCTCTTTTTTTTTTTTTTTTCTGAGGAAGATTGGCCCTGGGCTAACATCCATGCCCGTCTTCCTCTACTTTATATGGGATGCTGCCACAGCATGGCTTGACAAGAGGTGCATTGGTGTGCACCTGGGATCTGAACCGGCGAACCCCCGGCTGCCACAGCGGAGCGCGCACACTTAACTGCTATGCCACTGCGCCAGCCCGTTTAACTTTTTAAGAAACTGCCAAACCAACTACGATTTTACGTTCTCACCAGTATTGTATGAAGGTTTCAGTTTCTCCATATCCTCTCCAGTGCTTAGTATTGTCAGTCTTTTTAATTTTAGCCATTTTATTTTGTAATGGTATTTTTGGTATGTTTCTAATGGTATTTCATTGTGTTTTTTAACAGCTTTATTGAGATGTAATCCACATACCATATGATTCATCTATTTCACTATACAATTCAGTGGCTTTAGTATATTCAGAGCTGTGCAGTCATCACCACAACCAATTTCAGAACATTTTCATCACCCCCCAAAAGAAACCTGCACCCCTTAGCCGTAACTCTCCCCCACCCCCATGTACTCTTTTGCTAAGGCATTAGTAAATTACTAATTCCAGAACAGCTTTATCACACTCCAAAAAGAAACCAGTACCCATCAGCAGTCATTCCCATTTCCACCCCCACCAGCTCTGGGCAACCACTAATCTACTTTCTGTCTCTAGATTTCCCTATTCTGGACATTTCATAAATGGAATCATACAGTATGTGGTCCTTTCTGAGTGGCTTCTCTTACTTCTATTTTCAAGGTTCGTTGATGTTGTAGCATGTATCAGTACTTTATTTCTTTTTATTGCCCAATAGTATTTCATTATGGACGTACATTTTATTTATCCGTTCATCAGTTGATGGGCATTTGGATTTTTTGACTATTATGAATAATGCTGCTATGAACATCTTCGTACAAATTTTTTTGTGTGGACATATGTTTTCATTTCTCTTAGGTCTATACCCGGGGTTGGAATTGCTGGTGCACATGGTGACTCGATGTTTAGCCTTTTGAGCAATTGCCAGACTGTTTTCCAGTGTGGCTGCATCATTTAATATTCCTAACAGCAGTGTATGAGGGTTGCAGTTTCTCCACATCCTCATCAGCACTTATCTGTCTTTTTGATTCTAGCCATCCTACTGGGTGTTAAGTGGTATCTCATTGTGGTTTTGATTTGCTTTTCTCTGACGGCTAATAATGTTGAATATCTTTTCATGTGCTTATTTTTGCCATTTGTATATCTTCTTTGGTGAAGTGGTTAAATCTCTTGCCCTGTTTTTAAAAATTGGATTATTTGACTTATTGAGTTGTAAGAATATTTATAGTGGACATAAATATTTTGCAGATATTTCTCCCTCTTTTTTAGCTAGTCTTTTTATTTTCTTAACAGTATCTTTCAGTGACATATTTTAGGAGGCATATTCTGCCACCCTTCAATGAATTCTGAAACCCTTGTGCAATCAACAGATCTTGGCAACTGATTGGATAATGGGGCTTGAAGATAAAGATCTTGCAGATAGTGGTATAATTAACAGTAGTAGGAAAGAAGTTGAGGTCAGTTTGGGGTATATTGAAATTAAGATTCCTGGTGACATCCATGTAGAAATGTACTTTCTGTTCTTTCAACCTGGAACCCCTTATTTCTGGATCTTCCCACAGCTGACTCATTTTTTTTTTTTTTGTCATTCAGGTCTCAGCTCAAATGTCACCTCCTAGGGGCCTGCCCATGGCGTAGTGGTTACATTCATGCGCTCTCCACTTTGGTGGCCCAGGGTTCGCAGGTTTGAACCCCGGGCGTGGACTGACACATGGCTCATCAAACCATGCTGTGGCAGCAGCCCACATACAAAATGGAGGAAGATGGGCATGGATGTTAGCTCAGAGCCAATCTTCCTCAGCAGAAAAGAAGATGATTGGCAACAGTTGTTAGCTCAGGGCCAATCTTCCTCACCAAAAAAAAAAACCACCTTCTAAAGTAGGCCTTTCCTGGCCATCTTATCTAATGTTGTCCCTTCCAAACATCATTGTCTATTATATTACCCCATTTTACTTTCTCTGTTGCCCTATATGTGAGGTCATCTTATTGTGTGTGTGCTTTTTCTTATCTGTTACCCTACCAGAATGTAAGTCCATTAGGACAGGATCCTCTTCTGTCTTGGTCTTCAATGTAGCATCAACATTTCCCCCCCTCTGAGGTAACTGTGGTTCCTGTCTGTCAAATTGTTTTTGGATCCTAAACTTCTTATTGTCTTGGCATCATAAACTATTCATAATGTTTAAAATTGATCCAGAAGTTGTAGTTAAAACAAAGAAAAAAACTCAAAAACTTGCATTTTTGTTTGAGCCTTAACCTAGAGGTCAAAAAGTGTCATTAAAAATACTCTGCAAGGGGCCGGCCC